ACTCCACAGGGCAGAGTAGAATGGCCTCCAAAGGGTTTCCAAGGCTGTGATCTTTAGGAAAGCAGACTGTCGCATTTCTCTCCTGCAGTGAGTTCAAATCTTCTGGTTAGTAGTGGAGCACTTAATTGTGCCACCTGGGCTATTTTGACACAAGTTTAGGTCATCATATTCTTTTATCTAAGCATGGGAAAAATTGGAAAAATTTCAAGTTCTTTAGCACAGCATGTGTTTTCTTTGTGTCTTGGCCCTGCCTACTTCTGTTAACTCATCTCCTACCATTCTCCCAGTAATGCTTTATGTTCTAGCAGTCCCCAACTACTTCTTCTTTCTTGCTGTCCCATGCTTCTTTGCCTATGTACTTGCTTGCTGTTCGCCTTCCTTAAAGTGAATCTCTTGGTGAAAATATTTTTTTATTTGAAACCTCACTTTAGAGACTACATCCTTTGTGAATCATTTCTAATGGCCACAGAATATTACTTCTTCTTCTGCACCCTATTTAAGCATGCTTTTACTCCCTAAATGTCATATGGTATTACATGCATTTCTTTTCTTTGTCTCTACTGAGTGCAAGCTCCTTAGGATTATAGACAATGTCTTATGGCTCTCTGTAACTTTGGCGTCTGGCACTGGTTATGTTGTTGTTGTTAAGTTCCATCAAGTCAGTCCTAACTCACAGAGACCCTATATAGGGTTTCCAAGGAGTGGCTGGTGAGTTTGAACCACTGACCTTGAGATCGAGTGCTTATCCTATGGCGCCAGACCAGGACTCCAGGCACTGGTGACTTGAACAAAATTGCTGGAGACTGGAAACATCATAGCTTATTTAATTTTATTTTTTATTCTAGTGACTTTCTCCAAATACTGTGCCATTTACCTTAGAAATGTCATTATTCATTGAATAAATAAGCAATGGATGAATGGATAGATAAGTGAATGTATGAATGCAAAGTAGAAAAGGAAGGCATAAAGTTGCTTTTTAATAAGAACAGTAATGTGGAAGGAAGGAAGAATAGACTTGTTCCATGGTTCTCCAGAGCCTGGAATCAGATTCAAATAATATAAACAATAAGGAAGCAGATTTTAGCTTATCTAAGAGAGAATATTCTTACCATAAATGGCATTGGCTATTTAGAAATACAGTCATCTTTTAGTTATCTGCAGGGGATTGGTTCTAGGATCACCACTGCCTCCTACCCTTCCACTCATACCAAACTCTGTATGTGCTCAAATCCCTCATATAAAATAGCTTACTATTTGCATATAACCTACCCATATCCTTCCAGATACTTTTAGTCTAGATTTCTTACAATACTCAATTCAATCAATGTAAATGCTATGGATATAGCACTTCATGCTCTCTCTTTGCCTTTGGATTGCTTTGACCATGTAATTGCTTCCCCTCACCCCAAATATCTGAAGATATGGAGGGCCAACTGAAGGAACTTTCTGCTTAACAAAGATATATTTTAAAAGACTGTGCATAATCTCAATATGATTGAATCTCTTGCTACTTCTCTGAACTCTTCCCGGTTCCCCCCACTCCAGCTGTGAGGGCCTTCTTGCTTTTTCTAAAATGTGACAAGCCCATTGCTTACTCTGAGCCTGAATACCTGATGTTTCCTCTGCCTGGAAGGCTCTAGGCATTCAGATTTTTAAAGAATTGTCCTTCTCATCTTCAGGTCTGTGACTGAATGTGAGTGACCTCCACAAAAAGGACACCTGATGGCGGCATCTGTGTCAGTCCGCCTTTCCAGCAAACACACACACCTACTTCCTCCACTTAACTTGCTTACCTTTCTGCACAGGATTTATTGCTATCTAAAATTATACATTTTATTTTTGTGTTGACTTGTTTAATATCTGTCTTCTCCATGATAGTATAAACTCCAATTCAAAAGGGGTCTTGCCTGTTTTATTCAGTGCTCTTTAAAATTCATCTTGTACCTAAAATAGTTTCTGCTCCCTCAAAAAAGTGTCAGAAATATTTACTGAATGACTAAATTTATATTTAATGAATGACTAAATAATGACTAGCTGGTTGTTCTTAGCACCATATTGTGACAAACTTGTACAGTAGATGGTCTGATTTGGTAGTGCCATCTTCCTTTTCCAAAGATGATTGAAATGGATCCCCTCTCTCTCTCCCTCAAATTCCAGATGTTCTTAAGTGATCTCTACTCCCATCTCAAGAACCAGCTTTACAAAGCAGTTATTACATGATGGTGCTTGAATAAGCAAGCATTAAGAATACTCTGCCAATGTTCAAATATCTTTCGAATGTGTGAAATTGAAATTGTATCTGTAGAAGTTCATTTCCTTGCATCCTCAAATAATTTTAGTTTCAAAGTCCTCTAAAAATTACTGAATTGAAAATGTGAAAATGGCATGGAAGTGACGTGTAACTTGCTCTGACTCCATAAGGGGTGAGAAGAATCATCCTCAACATTAGCCCAAAGCCAATTCCTATGAGGCAGAGGTCAGACATGCCTCCACCCTCCAACCTTTTCACCTGTAACAGACTATCAATTACTCATTGGCAAGTTTGGGCTGAAGCTGAAGAAAATTCAAGCAAGTCCACGAGAGCCAAAATATGACCTTGAAAATATCCCACCTGAATTTAGGGACCATATCAGGAACAGATTTTAGGCATTAGACACTAATGACCGATGATCAGAGGAGTTGCAGGATAAAATAGAAAACTTCATAATGAAAGCAAAGGTTTTTAAAAATATAGGAAAGATTTTTTTAAAAAAAAGACCAAAATGGATGTCAGAAGATACTTTGAAACTTTCTTTCCAGTGTAGGGATGCTAAAGCCAATCAATGGAAGCCATGAGGAGGGAGATAAAAGAGTTGAACAGAAGATTTGAAAGGGTAGCTTGAGAAGACAAAGTACAGTATTATGATGAAATGTCTAAGATCCGAAATTAGAAAACCAAAAGAGAAGAGCATGGTTAGCATTTCTCAAGATACAAGTGAAGAAACAATTCAAGCCTTGACTTGTAACACTGAAGAGTTCTATAGTCAAAATATTGAATGATGCAGAAAACATCAAAAGAAGATGGAGGGAAAACACAGAGTCACTGTACCAAAAAGAATTGGTTGATGTCCAACCATTTCAAGAGGTAACATATGATAACGAACCAATGGTATTGAAGGAAGAAGTCCAAACTGCACTGAAGGTATTGGTGAAGTCTATGCCAAAAAAATTTGGAAGAAAGCTGTTTGGCCAACTGACTGGAAGAGATCCATATTTGTGTCCATGCAAAAGAAAGGTGACCCAAAGAAGTGCGGAAATCACCCAGCAATATAATTAATATCACATGAAAGTAAAATTCTAATGAACATAATTTTAAAATGGTGGTAGTAGTATGTTGACAGGGAGCTTCCAGATATTCCAGCTGAATTCAGAAGAGGATGTGAAACACGGGATATCATTGCTGCCATCAGGTTGATCTTGGGTGTAATCAGTGAATACCAGAAAAATGTTTACTTGTATTTTATTGGCTCTGTAAAGGCATTCAACTCTGTGACTCAAAACAAATTATGGCTAACAATATAAGAATGGGAATTACCGAACACTTAATTATGCTTATGAGGAATCTGTAGACCCACAGACAGTCGTTTGAATAGAGCATGGGGATACTAAATGATTTTAAATCAAGAAAGGTGTGTGCCAGGGCTATATACTTTCGATATACTTATTCAATCTGTATGCTGAGAAAATAATCTGAGAAACTGAACTACATGAAGAAGAACGTGGCACCAGGGTTGGAGGAAGACTCAGTAACAACTTGTAATATGCAGATGATATAATCCTGCTTCCTGGAAGTGAAGAGGACTTAATATTCTTATTGATGAAGATCAAAAACTATAGCTTTCAGTATGGATTGCACTTCAATGTAAAGAAACCAAGAATGCTTACAACTTTCTCTGTTTAATAATATCATGATTAAACAGAGAAAGTTGTCAAGAATTTTATGTTACTTAGAACTATGACGAATGCTCATGAAAGTGGCAGTCAAGAAATCAAATGAGGTATTGAATTAGGCAAATTTGCTGCAAAAGACTTCTTTAAATGTGAAAGAGGAAAGATGTTACTTTGATGAATAAGGTGGGCCTGACTCAAGCCATGCTCTTTTCAATCATCTCATATATATGGGAAGGTTGGGCAATGAATTAGTAAGACCACAGAAGAATCGATGCACTTGAATCATGGTATTGAAGAATGAATATTGAAAGTACCATGGACTGCCAGAAGAACGAACAAATCTGTTTTGGAAGAAGTACAGCTGAATTACTCCTTGGAAGTGACCATGGCGAGACTTTATGTGGAGTACTTTGTACATGTTGTCAGGAAGGGCCAGTCTCTGGAGAAGGACATCATGCTTGGTAAAGTGGAAGATCAGCGAAAAGAGGAAAATTCTCAACAAGATGGATTGGCACAAATCTGAGGATGACGCAGGACTGGGGAGTTTTGTTATGTTTTGCATAGGGTCGCTATGAGTCGGAGTCGACTCGATGGCACCTAGCAATAACACCACCTTGGGATAGATTGTTAGGTGCCATCGAGTCGGTACCAACCCATAACGTCCTTAATGCACAGCAGAAGGAAATACTGCCCGATCCTGGGCCAACTTCACTATTGTTGCCACGCTTGAGTCCATCTCGTTGGGGGGTCTTCACCATGGGAAACCCTGGGTATCTATCTGAAGGATGGAATTTTTGACAGGACTCTCTTAGTCAGTAGAGACTAGATGGCCATTTTAAAATCACTGGACCTACACAAGCTACACTAGAATTAATTTTTGGTCTCCATAGAACAATGTTGGGCATTTCCTCTTTGCACCGATCTGCTATCATAAAATTTTATTATGTCGCTGGTCTCTTCTTCCCAAATCCTGTTGTTCAGTGCCGACGGGTAAAATCCTCCTAGATGACGTTTTCTAATGAGCAGAGGGCGTTGCAGCACCCCCTCCTCGTGCGTCATGACGTAAGGCGTAGGTCACGTAGTGTTAACAGCTGGTCCCGGAAGCAAAAGGCAAGGGGCGTAGGAAGACGGAAAGGAGGGACCTGCGTCCGGATCGGCCGGCTGGGGGCGGGGCCGGGTATGGTAACGGCTCGGAAGACGAGGGGGCTGGACCGGAGGGAAGCGAAGAAACCGGTACCCGGTGCTTCTGTTTCTTACGCGGTTCCTCCTGTTCTTGTGGCCCCCGCGGGTCCCGCTTCAGCCATGATGATCCACGGGTTCCAGAGTAGCCACCAGGACTTCTCCTTCGGGCCCTGGAAGCTGACGGCTGCCAAGACCCATATCATGAAGTCGGCGGATGTGGAGAAGTGAGGCTCGGGCGCGCGTGAACCAGGGCGCGTGAGAGAAGCTGGGCGAGCTCCACGCAACCCTACCCCCTTCCCCTGGGCCGAGGCTGGGTCCCCTAGCTCGCGTCCTTGAATGACAACATCCCTAGATAATCTGATCCCCACCTCCGCACCTCTGGCTGAGCTTCACCAGGCTCTGCCTTCCTGAAGCTTCTTGCGCCTGGCTTTGCGTAGAACGTGACTGTTCTGGTGAACGCTCACTTCACCGAACGTCTCTTCTCCCGCCCCAGCCTGCGCCACCTTTGGACTATTTCTTTTTGATGGCTGTGGCCTTTCTTGTGGGTTAATAAACGGGGTATACTCGTTACCACTCAGGCACTTAAGATAGGCGACGATGAAATGTAGTTTCTGCCTCGAGGAATTCAGTCTCCTGAGAGAGACAAATAGACAATTAGGATACTGTGTGAATATTGTTTATGATAGACATAGGGACTGGGGTATTTGAGATCGCTTAGGGGACACGGCCTCTGGGTAATTGAGATGCTTGAACTGCATCTTGGTAAGAGTCTGGGATTTGGGTTGGGGATATGTGTAAAGTGAGGAGACCAGGAAGACCGAGAACTTGGCTGTCGTTGTGATTCCTTAACAAAGTTTCGTGGGGAGGGAAGGGATGTGAGTATAATGAAGAGGTGAGGGAGAGCTGTGATGGATTTGAGGAACTGTTTCTGTGTGATTGGAGCAAGTTGTACTAAGAGGGAGTATGAGAAATGAGAAGTAGGCTTCATGGGGAACCGAGACACGGAAATTTTATGCCAGGATAAGGAGTTTTTAATGTTAAGCGATAGCCACTAAATGTAATTTTATCCGAGAAATGACGTTAATCAGATGTACACACTGAAAGATTGCGATGGTGGAGATGTGGAGTGTGGATTGGAGGGCTGTAGGAATGGGTAAGGAGACCTGAGATTGTAGGAGAAAGGAGAAGTTTTCAAAGATGAGTTCCTGAACTTGATAGGGGAAGGAAAAAAAGAGGAGGAATCTACACGGATGTCCAGGTTTCTGGTTTGGGCTATTGCATGCATACCATTGCCGTTAATCAGGGTGGGAAACAAGAACAGATTGGGGGAAAGAGTGGATGGGCAGTTGGATGAAGGATACTTTTAGTTTTGAAAATACTGAAATGTGAAGTGTGTGTGGTCATAATATAGGCATTTGGATATATTTACTGCGAAGCTAAAAAAAAAAAAAGGTGACTTTTCTATGGGTTTAGGTGTGGGAATCATCAGTTTATAGTTGATACCAAGAGCCTTGGGATTGAATAAAATTATCTGAAGATTACCCAGAAAAACAAGAAGAGTTCAGGAGCGGGAACTCCAAGGAGCACTGGCTTTTATGATCCAGGTGGAGGGTGGTGACCAAGGAAGGGAATCCTGACAGTATGCTTTGCTTACTAATTAAAAAAAAACAAAACAATTCTTACAGACTCATTAGAAAAATACAACAAAGGGGGGAAAAATTCATCTTCAGCCAACTATAAACTGAGTTACTCTTTTTAAGTTTTCTTCTTACCATGTAACTTTCTTTGTTATATATCATGTATAATTGCATATGAAAACTGTTGTTGATAAGTGCTGTGGAGTCTCACAGTGACCTTGTACATAACCACATACCACCCATTCAGGCAACTTCTCTGTTCAGGCAACTTTGAACAGTAAGTCTACCTGGTGTGGCACTGTGGGCTATTGCATCAGACTGCAAAGTTGTTTGAACTGCAAGGATGGCAGTTCAAGCTCACTAGCCACTCCTTGGTAACCCTATACAGGGTCATTATGGGTCGGAATCAACTCGATGGTACTTAACAACTATGTTAAAAATTCTAGGTAAATACAATAGTTCAGGAGTCCTGGGGTGACTCTGTAGAATAAGCACTGGACAGCTAACTGCAAGGTCCGTGTTTCAAACCCACCAGCCACTCCCTGAAAACCCTATCAGTCGAAATTGACTTGATGGCACTTAACAACAATAATAAGGAATACATTTTACTTACATTTTATGATCAGAAACATTTTACAAACTAACCTAAAGACAAACAATTAAAACATCCGACCAGTGTTACGAGTGCACATACATGCACACACACAGAGGTGTAAATAGATAGACAATATGTCCAGTTTTTCCCTACGAGTGTGTTTTCCCCACATTATTACCCTCTCTCTGTAAATATTTTTAATGGTTACAGAATATTTTATAACATGGATATACTCTATAACCATCTGTTTCTTTATAACTGGATGTTCAGAGTATTTCTTTATGAATATTAATGTATATAGATTTTTTTGATGCATTTGGAATTATATATTTAGGACAGATTTCCCAAAGCTGATTGTTTATGTTGGAGTGTAAATTTTATTAGATTCTTCACACTTATTGCTCAATTACGTCTCTAGGATGAAATTTAAATTTGTACAATCCTTTTGGTAATCCACATGAGTAAAGTGCTAGTTTCCCTCACCTTACTCTTGTTGGGTGATTGTATTTTCTTCATTATAACCCGTTGAGACTTTTAATAAGGTGAGAATTGTTTTGGAAAAGCTAATTGTTTTTGTACAAGTACCAGGATCTTAGGGAGTCCTGGTGTGGCTCTGTTGGGTAATCACTGGACTGCTAACCACAAAATTAGCAGTTCAGACCCACCAACTACTTCTCAGAAACCCTATACAGGGTTGCTGTGAGTTGTAACAGACTCGACTGCACATAACAGCAACAGGATCTTTAATTACTATCTTTCATTATAGCTACTGTCAGTACAGTTGTTATGTGAGAAAGTTCGCCAGAAATAAGAGTCTATGGAACCATGGGAGTGTGTGCATTTAGCCATCTGCCCGGCGGTTATACTGCACTCAGGACTCATCTTCATTCTCTAAAGTGCTGGGTCTTTGATGATCTGTATTTTTCCATTTAAAATCTAAATTGTTTAACATCATGCATGATTTTAGATATATGAGCATGTGTGTGTGTCTGTATACAAATATACATACAAAGACTTGTTTGGTTACTCTGATTAGCAGTGGACTTTAAGTCCATTGGAAAGTGTGTAATTGTGGACTTCGGATATGCATGGGTACTTTTTGCCTTGATATAAGAATATATTCTTTAATATTATTTTAACATCCTTACTCAAGCCCTGTTGCTGTTGAGTTGATTCAAATTCATAGTAACCTTGTAGGACAGAGTAGAACTGTCCCATAGGGTTTTCAAGGCTGTAATCTTTACAGAGGAGTCCTGGTGTGGCGTGGTAGGATAAGCAGTGGACTACTAACCATAAGGTGGGCAGATCAAACCCACCAGCCATCCCTTGGAAATCCTATTCAGGGTCACTTTGAGTTGGAAACAACTCAACAGCACTTCACAACAATCTTTACATAAGCTGACTGTGACATCTTTCCCATGGAGCGCCTCATGAGTTTGTGCTATTGAGTACTTTAACCATTATACAACCAGGACTCCTTATCTTCCCTACTAATCATAGCTAAATAGCTATTCAAAAGTCAGAAGTCTTAAAAAAGAAAAGGAAAAAGTCTTTTGATCCATTCTGGTAACTGTCAGAACACTTGCACTAAAATCTTGTACTGTATTCAGGGTCTGATAGTGCTTCACTTAGAGCATACTGAAAGTTTTGAAGCTCCCGGTAGACCCTTCACTCTAATGAGTAAATTGCTAGTTTTCATGTTCTCTATTATGCAATTTTAAGAAGTGGTTAATTGGCTTTCTAGCCTCTAATAAATTAGAAACCAAATTTTAAAGGATGAGGCATGCTTTAGGGACAGATACCTATATTCTGTATCAGCTACATGTGCACACAATTCTAGTGCACTTGAGGACATTGACCTACATGATTGTTACACGTGATCTCTGATCATCAGTAACAGGTAAAATTATCCTTTATATTTCCTGTTTTAAGATTGTAGCAAAGTCTATAAATCATTATGAAAAGTTTCCAAAGTCAGTAAAATAAAAAGATTGGATATATAAGGTAAACTGGAAAGTTCCCTTCCATGGAATCTCTGCACTAGTTTTATTTTCAGGTTGCCTTAAATAATGGGAATTTAATATTACTCAAGATAATAATTAAACTTAGCAATTATTTTAGAAAATGAATAACAATTCTTGTGGCCCCCTAAACTATAGAAGTCTGTATTCTACTTTTATTTCTCTTACTTTGCTTTGTTCTATCTGCTTTAATTGCTGTTACTTAAATAGTATTCTCTTGACTCTGCCTCATGGCTTTGATTTCATGTATTTTCTTTTGTGTTTCTTGGGCACTGTGTCTTGACTGTCATTCAGACTTCTGAAAAGAGATAGAGTGAGTTAATCAGTCATTATTTTAAAATCAACATGAGAATATTGGGCAGAATTCTTGGGCTAAGATTCAGGGATTCGGCTCCCCACTTCACAGTCCTGGTTTTGACAGAGGTGTTGGGGGGTCATGCAGTACAAAGCATGGCAACCTCTGCATATTGTTGTTATGTGTCTTTGAGTCAGTTTAACTCACAGTGATCCTGCATAGGGTTTCCGAGGAGTGGCTGGTGGGTTTGAACCATTGACTTTTTAGTTACCAGTTCAGTGCTTATCATACAGCTCCATACCTAGACTTCAACCTCTACATATAGCAGCTTATTTCAGAAGGCAGTAATAGGCAGCCACTTAAAACCTCTATACTCAGGGTTACAAACTCAACATTCTAAAGGGCAAAGGAAGTGGTCAGGTGGAAAGCCCATGACCAACTCAAAGGGAATGACCTCCACTCAGCTCCAGCCATTTGGTGCCATGTAGCAGATGTCAGCCTCCTAGTTTTGTTTTTTAGTTTTTGTGTTTTTAAGAAAAAACAGAAACCCACATTATATAGTCTTTCAGTTTTTGTTGCCAATTGTTTCTCAATATTTGTTGGGAACTATTTAAAATATTAAAAAATATATATACTTACAGATTAACAGTCTCTCTGGCCCCTGACTTTATAGTATATCTGTTGTTGCTGTTAAGTGCTGTTGAATCAGTTCTGACTCATAGCAACCCTTTATAGTGTTTTCAAAGAGTAACTGGTGAGTTTGAACCGCTGACCTTGTGGTTCACAGTCCAGTGCTTATCCTACAGTGCCACACCAGGAGTCCATAGTATATCTAGTAGTATAACTTTATTCTGTAATGAGGCTAACTGAATGAAGGCCCAGTATATGTAAAGCAGGCTAGTATAATGAAAAAGGCCTGATTTTATCACTTACTAACTCTATGATCTTGAATGAGCCACATAAACTCTCTGAGCCTTTATTAGCTCACAGGGTAGTTTTGAGATTCAGATTCTCAATGTGAGAACTGACATCTTGACCATCCTACCTAAAATAGCTCTTTCCCCACATACATATTTACCTTGCTTTATTTTTCCTTATGTCACTTATTGCTAACTGATATATTATATATTTATATATTTATCTGTCTTATTTAGCTCAGTACCTTGGTATGGTGCTATAGGATAAGACTGGACTGCTAACCGCAAGGTTGATGGTTCAAACCCACCAGCTGCTCCCTGGAAACCCCACACAAGGTCTGTATGAGTCGGAACCGACTTGGCGGCATTTAACAATCTAGTCCGGTTCCTAGTATGGTGCTATAAAAATATACACAGAATGAACAGTGAAAACATTTTATACTCTTTATGAATATATTTGTTACATTGTCTAACTCATGTAGTAATGCAGGAAGTATTCTGTTGGGATGAAAAAGAAAATTGCCAAGTGTGACATAAAATAATCATAACTGACTTCCTGTTATACGTAGGCTAGCTGATGAATTGCATATGCCATCTCTCCCTGAAATGATGTTTGGAGACAATGTTCTGAGAATCCAGCATGGCTCTGGCTTTGGAATCGAGTTCAATGCTACAGATGCATTGAGATGTGTAAATAACTACCAAGGGATGCTTAAGGTAGCCTGTGCTGAAGAGTGGCAGGAAAGCAGGTGAGAAATTGAGCAGTTATGTGTTAAACAAAAAAGGAAAGAGTTGAAAAGAATATTCATGATTTGTGTGCTTTGTTAGAATGCAGGGCTATTATTGTATCTTACAGTTTTTGTTTTTTAATCTTTTCAGTAGTGCTTTAGTTATCCCTCTGCATGAATAATTTTTCAATTTAGTTACAATTGAGCTGAGCTACTTTTTCAAAAGCAGTGTTTACTTTTTCAAGCATTTATTAATTATCTGGTAAAGAGGCAACACATTTCAGTGTTCCTGATTTTGAAAAACTGTTAGCCAAGATTTACATTTAAATTTTGAGGAACATTAAACTTTTTAATAACGTATTTATTTTGATAATTAAATCCACTACTGTTTACTTTGTGTCTTTTATGTACTAGGTACCTTGGAGGATTCAAGGAAGTATAGTTTTTTAACCATGTTCTCAGGCAATGTATAGTCTAATTGGAGAATCTACATTAGCACATCTACATGACAAGTTAAATAACAATAAATGTATAGATAACTCTTAAGATATATTAGTGAATTATAACAAATAGATGTGTTAGTAGGTATTTCAGATTATTAGTAGAATATAATTTGGTTTGATATATGAACATACATGATCTATATACTGCATCACTGAATCTGACCCTTCTCATTTTGGTATTTGAGGACGGAAGGTGAACACTCTAAAGAAGTTATTAAACCATATGATTGGACCTTTACAACGGATTACAAGGGAACATTACTTGGCGAATCATTTAAGTTAAAGGTAAATCTTATTTTTTTATTTTTGAGTCATGAATTGTCTTGAGTACTCTCATTCCAGTAATAGCTTATTTACAGCCACTACTTATTTTCTATTGTGGCAGGCACTGGAACCTAATGCAATATTAGCAGAAAATAAAAGAAGGCTATAGTAGAACCGACTCGACAGCACTTAATAACAACATAGTAGAATAATCTTTACTCTTAAAGTGTGGGCTGATAGTTATGGTAATCTTCCTTAATGTTATTATCACTGTAAGAAACAAAGTATGTAGCTATCCCTAGTAATGTATTAGGTAATTTAAATAGAAACAGTTAGCTAGTGGCATGGAATTATGCAGATGGATAACTATATAGGCAAACAGGACTTTTGGTTAGACTTATAGCTTAGATTGGTGTTCTGCCTGCACTATGTCTAAACCTGATATAATGTTAGACAAGTTACTTAATATATCCAAGTCACAACTGTTATCAGTAAAATGGGTATAACAGATAAACACAACAGTAAAACAAAAATCCAAACCTACTAACATCGAGTTGATTCTGACTTATAGTAACCTGGTTTATAGGGTTTCTGAGGCTCTAAAAATTTATTGGCACAGAGAACCTCATCTTCCTCCGGTGGAGTGACTGGTGACTATGAACTGCTGACCTTACAGTTAGCAGTCCAGTGCTTATTCTACAGCATCAGAAAACTCTCAATACATATTAAAACTCTATATTAATGTATCCCTATGAGCCCTGCATGGGGAGTCCTGGTGTGGCGCTGTGGGTTAATGCAGCAGACTGCAATGCCGCTTGAACTGCAAGGTTGGTGGTTCAAGCTCACCATCTGTTCCTTGGAAACCCTATACAGGGTCTCTATGGGTCAGCACCAACTCGACGGCACTTCACAACAACTATGAGCCCTGCATAAGAAGAGATTCCCTTCAAGGCCATGATACTGAGAAGGCACAGCACAGTCTTCATAGCAGCAGTACTCATAGTTACTAAAAAGTAGAAACCAATGAATGTCTTTCAGCTGATGAGTGGATAAATAAAATATGGTATGTGTATACATACACTATTCAATGTTTTAAAAGTGCTATCACATGGGTGAAATGTCAGAACATTATTTTAAATTATTTATGTATTGTAAAATATAACTATCCAGGAAAAGCAATAGATGGCCCTACCTGATCATATTCCTTTATAAGTAGATAGTTCTGAGTGTTAGTTTGTTGTACTGTGGTAACTTGCATGTTGCTGTAATGCTTGAAGCTATGTCACCGGTATTTTGAATGTCTACAGGGTTACCCTGGTAGATAGGCTTCAGCTGAGCTTCCACACTAAGATAGACTAATAAGTAGGAGAGGTGGACTACTTCTGAATGTTTAGTCTCTGAATAGCAGTGGAACTGTCAGATAACACCACAGTATTGAATATTGAAACATTATGAATAGCACCAAGGAGCTCTGGTAGCATAATGGTTATGAATTGGGCTGCTAATCTCAAGGTCAGCAGTTCAAAACTACCAGCGGTTCCACAGGAGAAAGATGAGGCTTTCTGCTCCCATAAAGATTTACAGCCTTGGAAACCCTGTACAGGGTCGCTATGGGTCGGAATCTACTTGACAGCACTTAAATGTTGAATAACACCAGAATGTTAGATAATGGAGTGCTGATGTGGCACCATAGAGTAAGCACTGGACTGCAAGGTCGGTTTGAATTGCAAGATCGGCAGTTCAAACTCACCAGCGGCTCCTCAGAAAGCCTATACAGGGTTGCTGTGCATCAAAACTGACTTGATGGCACTTAACAACAACATTGCCCGAAAATGAGCACCTCATGTTGGAAGGCACTCAAAATATGACGGGAAGAGCTGCCTCCTCAAAGTAGAGTTGACTGCGATGACATGAATGGAGTAAAGCTTTTGGGACCTTTATTTGCTGCTGGAACATGGAAAACTGAGGAGCAACAACTGCAAACATCCATTAATAAATAAAACATGGAATGTATGAATCTAGAAAAATTGGAAATTGTCAAAAATGAAGTGGAAAACATAAAGATTGATAATCCTATGCATTAGTGAGCTGAAATGGAGCAGTGGTATTGGCAATTTTTAATCTGACAGTCACATGATGTACTATGCCAGGAGTGACACATTGAACAGGAACGGTATCACATTCATCATCAAAAAGAACATGGTCAAGACCTATCTTGAAGTATAATGCTGTCTGTGATAGGATAATATTCATATGCCTATAAGGAAAACCAGTTGATACCACTATTATTTAAATTTATGCATCAACCTCTAAAGCCTGAGATGATGAAATTGAAGAGTTCTGCCAGCTTCTTCAGAGTGAATTTGACCAAACATGCAATCAAGATAAATTGATAATTACTGGTAATTAGAATGCAAAAATTGTAAATCAAGAGGAATGGTCAGTAGTTGGAAAATATGGCCTTAGTGATAGAAACAATGCTGGAGATTGCATGATAGAATTTTGCAAGATCAGTTACTTCTTCCATGCAAACACCTTTACTAAACAGCATAAAAGATATACATGGACCTCACCAGATGGACTACACAAAAATCAAATAGATTGCATATGTGGAAAGAGATGATGGAAAAATCTGTATAATCAGCCGAAACAAGGCCAGGGACAGACTGTAAGAGACCACTACATGCACTTCTGCAAGTTCAGACTGAAGCGGAATAAAATTAAAACAAGTCCACAAAATATGACCTTGAACATATCCCACCTGAAGTTAGAGATTATCTCAAGAACAAATTTGATACATTAGATACTAATGACAGAAGATCAGAATAATTGGGAAATTACATTAAGAACATTATAAAGGAAGAATGCAAAAGATCATAAAAAAGACAAGAAAGAAGGAAAAGACCAAAATGGATGTCAGAAGAGACACTGAAACTTGCTCTCCAGCATAGAGATGCTAAAGCAAATGGAAGAAGTAAGGAGGTAGAACAGCTGAACAGAAAGTTTCAAAGGTCAGCTCAAGAAGACAAAGCCAAGTGCTATAATTAAATGTGCATTGACCTGGAATTAGAAAACCAAAATGCCCAGAATTTCTGAAGCTGTAAAAGAACTGAAGAAAAAATTGCAGTACTGAAGGATTCTATGGCCAAATATTGAATAATGCAGAAAACATCAGAAGAAGGTGGAAGAACACATAGAGTGACTGTACCAAAGAGAAATGGTTAATGTTCAGACATTTCAAGAGGTAGCATATGATCAAGAACAGATGATACTGAAGGAAGAAGTTCAAAGTGCATTGAAAGCATTGGCAAAGAATAAGACTACTGGAATTGAAGGAATACAAATTGAAATCTTTCAACAATTAATGCAGCACTAGAGGCACTCATTCATCTATGGCAAGAAATTTGCAAGACCTAGCCAACTCATTCAGAGATCCATATTTTTGCCCACTCCTGCATCATGTGGAACTCACCAAACACTATCATTAATATCACATGTAAGTAAAATTTTGCAAAAGATAATTTAAAAATGACTACTATAACACTGACAAGGAATTACCAAAGGTTTAAGCCAGATACAGAGGAGAACTTGGAATGGGGGATAACATTGCTGACGCCAGATTTTTTTTTGCTGAAAGCAGAGAATACTAGAAAGATGTTTATTTGTGCTTTATTCACTACACAAAGGCTTTCAGCAGTGTGGATCTTGGCAAGTTATAGACAATATTTTGGAGAATGAGTATTCTGGGACACTTAATTATGCTCATGAGGAACAAGAGGCAGTCCTTGGAACAGAACAAGGGGACACTGAATTGTTTAAAATCAGGAAAGATGTGTAGCAGGGTTATACTCTTTCACTCTAGTATTCAATCTGTATTCTGAGCAAATAATCCAAAGGTCTGGATTATATGAAGAAGAACGTGGCATCAGGAATGGAGGAGGACTCACTAACAACCTGCGATAAGCAGATGATGCAAGCTTGCTTGCTTAAAGCCAAGAGGACATAAAATACTTAGTGATGAAGATGAAAGACCACATCCTTTGGTATGGGTTGCACTTTAATGTGAAGAAAACAAAAATCCTCACCATTGAACCAGTAAATAACATCATGAAAAATGAAAAAAGAGTCAAGTTGTTGAAGACCCATTTTTCTTGGACCCACCATCAAGCACCCATAAAAGCAGCAGTCAAGAAATCATATGACGTATTCCATTAGGCAAATCTGCTGCACAAATCCTCTTTAAAGTGTTCGAGAGCAAAGATGTCAGTTTAAGGACTAAGGTGTGTCTGACCAAACAGGTATTTTCAGTAGCCTGATATGCATGAGAAAGTTGGACAATAAATAAGAAAGACCTTAGAAAATGGATGCCTTTGTGTTATGGTGTTGGAGAATATTAAAAGTACCATGGGCTTCTAGAAGAACGAACAAATTTGTGTTGGAAGAAGTGTAGCCAGAATGCTTCATAGAAGCCAGGATGGCAAGACTTCATCGCTCATACTTCAGACATACTATCAGGAGGGATCGGGAGAAGACCATCATTTTTGGTAAAGTGAAGAGTCTGGAAAAAAGAAGAGCTCCACCAGGATGGATGGGCACAGTGCCTATGGCGATGGGCTCACGCGTGACAGCAATTGTGAGATTGGCTCAGGACCAGGCAGTGTTTTGTTCTGTTAATGCCTAGAGTTGCTATGGGTTGGAACTGACTCAGCAGCACCTACCAACAGCATAGTGTCTTGCTAAAATTTTCAACCTTAGTTTTTATTTCCTTGGAACTAGGATGCATTGTGTTTTTATGGTTTTATATGGTTCATAATTTTTGTTGCTTGAGTCCCTCAGGTCTTTTTATTGTCTGTTATTTCTGCTGGTTTTGGTTTATGTCTGGGTTCCTAATATGCCTCATTGTTTTTGTTCAAAGCCTACAATGATGTTGTTTTCCACTAGAGAAAATTTTTCTTTATTTCTGACAGGCCCTTAAAGACTTTAGTAATATAGGACATGGATCAACAAACTTTTTCTGCAAATGGCCAAATAGTAAACTATCTTTGGACTTTGTAACAAGAGTGTTTGTTGTAACCACTCAACTCTGCTGTTGTAACTGGAAGCAGGTATACATGAAACAGTACAGAAACAAATGGGCATGTCTCTGTCTCACACTTTTTTTATATAAATTTTGAATTTCATATAATTTTCATGTGTCTTAAAATCTTTTTTTAAAAAATTTCCCAGTCATTTAAATATGTAAAAACATTTTTAGCGGGTGAACCTGTGGCAGGCCAGATTTGGCATGTATGGTCCTAGTTTGGACCAGAGTTTGAGGTTTACTAAGCCTGTGGAGTCCTGGTGTGCTATTATAGGATAAGCACTGGACTGCTAAGTTAAAAATCAGTGGTTCAAACCCACCAGCCATTCTCGAAAATCCTATACTGGGTTGCTGTGAGTCAGAACCGACTCAATGGCACTTAACAACGGCAATCCTGTGGATTAGAAGGCAGGAAACAAGTATAGCTCTTTAGGGTGTTATTCCAGATTAGGAGTAAGACAGGGAATTCTTCAAGGTCCCAGTAGAAAGCAATGATGGCACCAAAAGTTAGCAGAGCCCAGCCTTGCCTCTGGACCCACCATGCAGAAACCCCTGTGCAAATTTACCAACTTCAGACTCACTTTTCTGAGCCTTATTCCTCTTCCACATTTTAGCTCCCTAATTTTCACTGCCTTGACCATTTGATGCTTTAAAGGTTTTTGTGTGTGTGTGGTTTTTTTTTTTTGTTTTTTTTTTCCCCTTCCAGCTTTTAAAATTGTCTTCAGCAAGAGGCTTTGTCTGGATTACTTGTTCTACCAAAACTGGATGGCAGAAGTGTTCATTGTTCTAACTTCAGCTGGGTTTTGCTTGCTTGTTTGTTTTTATTTCCAGTGCTCCAGTTCAGGGAGGAGTTAAATGGAGAAGAAACAGGGATGAGAAGTATAAAATTTAAAAATAATATTTGTCCTTGGAAATGACAGAAGACAGTATGTGTATAGGATTTCCAGGGCTGTAAATCTTGATGGGAGCAGAAAATCTCATCTTTCTTCCACAGAGTGGCTAGTGGGTTTTAACTGCTGACTTCATGATTAGCAGTCTAGTACTAACAACCTGTGCTCTTTGAAAATAGTACGTTGTCGTTGTTAAGTGCCATCAAGTCAGTTCTGACTCAAAGCGACCCTGTATGGGATTTCTGAGGAGCATCTGGTGGATATTAACCATGGACTTTGTGGTTTGCAGTGTAGTGTTTATCATACAGTGCTACACCCAGACCCCAGAAGATAGTATTGTTGTTGTTAAGTACTGTGTACATGAGTTAAATATAATGAATATCCTCTTCCCATGTATTACCCGTTTTTCATCTTTCTCTTTCAGACATTTTATTAGAACATATCAAAACTAATGATATCAGTAATCACTTACTGATAGCATGTAGAGAACATTAGTGAAACAGCCATTTACTAATGAGAAATACTGATTCAGATACTATTACAATCGTAAAATTCATAGAATACTGGTTGATTTTTTGAAAGTCAGAAATATTAACCACAAGATTGGCGGTTCAGGCTCACCAGCCACTCCTTCGAAACCCTATACAGGGTTGCTTTGGGTCAGAACTGACTCCACGGCACATAATAACAACTTAAGTTTTATGCCATAAGGCAGTCTTTAGAGACACTAACGTTTGTGTTAAATAGATTACAAACATACCAGGGATACACTGGTCTGGTTATGAGCTATCCTGTCCCCACCCCACTTAACCTGTATGCTCATCCGTAATTTTCACCTTCAGATATGGTATTGTGCCTGCTGCAGACATACTTTGGAATTAAATTGCAGCGAGCTTAACAATGTCATCTGCAGTTGAACATGGAAGAACTGTGGGCATTTTTCACCTCTTAGGAATCATACTTTGTTTTCATTGCATTCTTGTATTTCTTCATAGATCACTTAATTTTCTCTCAGACCATTCTTTCCCCAAGTCTGTGCAGTCTCTTGAACATCATTTTCTTCTAATTTTACTCAGTGTCTCAAAATTATTGTCATCTCGTCATTCTATTCATGAGTCAAAAAATGTCTTAACCATAGCTGTTAAGTAAAGCAAAATAATAGCATTTAGTTAATAATTGCTTATGGTCTGACATTGTTGTTTTATTGGATTTTGTTGATGTGTGTTTGTGTGCTACAAAATCATATGTTGGAAGATGTTGCCAGCATCCTCCAAAGCCCTTTGGAATGTCACAGTGTCCTTTAGAATTTTTCTAAAAGTTCTCTCTTACATCATTATTTAAAGCACTTTATTTTGTTTATAGATTTAAGGGGGGCTAGGTTGGGAATCTAAAAGATATAATAACATTATTCTAAATGGAAAAATATTTTTGAAGATCCAAGTGGCTATATAAAAAGTAGACTTTTGAGCATAGGTTGCATTTAACTGATATGATAGTAGCAGTTCATCACACTGATTTTTCATAGTCAGTAGAATACTTGATTTTACTCTGATCTGTCTGAAAGACAGAGTTTTATTTTATTTGTATGTATGTTCATGTATGTGTAACTATAACATAGCTATCCGGTATGTTACCTTTTCAGTGGCAAGGCATACTTTATGTTTACTGATGACCCCCAAATTGAGCACTGTGTTCTATGGCTCTATGAAAAAAGAGGAAGGAAAACTACTTTTCTGTCTCTCTGTAGCTCCTTAATTTTTAAAAGGTTTTATGTATTTAAAATTTTTTTTCTTCAGGTTGTACCTACAACAGATCATATAGATACAGAGAAATTGAAAGCCAGAGAACAAATTAAGTTTTTTGAAGAAGTTCTCCTATTTGAAGATGAATTGCATGATCATGGAGTTTCAAGCCTGAGTGTGAAAATTGTGAGTTACTTGGGTTTTTACTTAAAATGTATTTATTTCTTCAACTGGGTAGAAATATAGGACTCAATTCAATTTGTATCGAGTCTCAACCTAATGTGACTAGAGGTTATTTTTTGGATTATCCATTGCAACATTCACAGTTAGGGGATATCTTAGGGTATTGCTAGTACTTTAGCAAACCATTTAAAAAAAAAAAAAAAGATTTGGCCACTTTTTAGTTTATTTGCTTGTTACTTAATTTGTGAAGAGTGTTAATTTTCACATTCTAAAATAGTGCTCATGTTGATAGAGTCTGCAGATGGCAAGGTGGTTGTCATTTTAAAATCACCAATGTGTCAGGATTTCAGTGCAGCATTAAACTATCACTCAGTCTCTATCTCAGAAGTGTAAATCAGAAAAGACAAGTATTACAGTTTCCCATCTTTTAAATTATTTCCCATCAGTTGAGGAAAGACTACTTTCATTAACAATGCTGTTGATGGCACACACTTAAAAAGAAAAATGGGATACTGTTGTTGTTGTTATTAAGTGGCATCAAGTTAGTTCCCCCACAGAGTGACCCTGTGTAGGGCTTCCAAGGAGCAATTGGTGGGTTTGAACTCCCAATCTGTACCTGCTTTAAAAGAATAAATGGGATATTGTTGTTCTTATTATTAAGTGGCGTCAAGTCAGTTCCCACATAGAGTGAACCTGTGTAGGGTTTCCAAGGAGCAGTTGGTGGGTTTAAACTCCCAGTCTTGTGATTAGCAGTCCAGTGCTTACCCTGCAGTGTTACAAATGGGCTACTAGCAGTTATTTATATTTGTTTACTATTAGGTTGTATTTAGTTTATGACATTTTCTGAAAAAGCCTCAACTGAAACTTTACTTCACGCCTCATTCTGTAAGACCTCCTCTATGAAGCCTCCCAAGGCAGAGTTAAATGTCCCTTTTCCATCCTCCAATAAGTAGGTTGTGGTTTTGTGTATTTTTAATTCTTCAGTTGAAGCACTTCTCACAAGATTTCTTAAAGGCTAGGAGTCGAACTATGTTCTTAAAGCATAATGATCATTAGTGTTGTGATTTAAACAAAGATAGAAATGAAGACAATAATACAAAAGCAGCAGTTAATTTGTTTTGAAGTCAAGTTCTTCTGTAGACTCATAAAATTTTGGAGGTATAATGGATCTCTAGAAAATTATTTAGCTCAGCCTCCATCTTTTATAGATGAGGCTCCAAAAAATTAGTTTATCCAAGGTTGTAAAACTAATGTCAAAGTGTTCTTTATACCATATAATACGTAATATCATTCTAGCATTACGTAATTGCTTCCTTAATGCCTTACCCTCTTGCCCACCTATAATTCCCCCAATCTATCTTTTGTCATTTAGATTTATTCATTCTCCCACTCATCCAGTCTTATACCTCTCCAGTTTTCTACCCACCTACTTTATTGAATTGACTATAATGAATGCTCATTATGAGTTTGCATGTCTGGATGTGCATTTGTATCCAAGTGGATGGCTGTATCGATGGTGTCTGTAAGTGGGTAGTTATGTGGGGAGAAGATGGGGTTTTGCTGAAGAGGGAATGGGCATAAATATATTATGTGTTTATCAGCATATGTAGTTAGTAGGTCTCAAACCAAAGAGGAAGGTTATCTTAAAAAAATGTGTTTTCTTTTGCAGTTTACCTTTTATAAGTTATTTCTAAGAATGCTTGGACAGATTCAGTAAAATTATGTCCTTTCTGGTTGGTTTCTTTCTAACAGTGTAACAGATAATGATGTAAGTAAAGCAGATGTCATTGTTTCTCCCCTTTCTATACACTTAGTAAATATGGGTGTAAGCAAGAAACCAGGAATGTGCTACCTAAGAGGCTCAAGCAGAAGTTGTAGAGAGAGGAGGCATGAAGATCAGTACCGTACTGTTCAGAAGTCTTGTAAACTTAGAATGGGGTAGTTCCCATTGGGCTAAAACAACAAAAAAAATTTTTGTTTTAGCAATCAGGATATTCTTATTGACCTGGGTAAGAGTAGTTTAAGTTACATGATTAGGGAGTAAATGAAATATGTAGAGGTAGAAATCAAGATGGTAGATTTTGCCCAGACTTTCAAAAATCTAGGAGAAGAAAGAGACCTGGCTAAGAGAAAACATGAGGTTGGTGGAGCCATGTGTTTTGGGGGTTTTAATGAAGAGAGGAGAGAGTATGAAGGAAATAAGGCCTCTGAGGATGAGTAGGATTGGAGGAAGAGGAAGCCTTTGAAGCTTTACTATATGTGAGGCACTGTATTTAGTCCTCATGTAAATGCTGTGTAGTTACAGAAATAGCACAGAAGTACGAAAGTTTCCCCAGCCAGGCTAGGGAAGGGGCCTGATGGTAGAATACGGTGATCATTGATGTATTTCTTGAGCTTGTGGTTTGTGAAAGTTGCTAATGAATTCAGGCTATCTTATTACTGACTACTGCTGGAGAGTGATGTGTGGGAATCAGCTCCAAAGCCCTTGCCAGGTGCTTTCCACTGAGAGTTCCCTTAACCAGGTCATTGAATTTACCTTTTTATTTAGAGCTTTTCCTGACGCAAAATCTACATTTTCTCAGCTGCTTTCAAATAAAATCAATACCATCATGAATATTTTTAGTTTAGCAAAGCTTTCCATGAAATTTCTTTTAAAAATGTGTTTGAAAGGGTTTTCTATATGACTTAGAATAGACTTGATGGCGATGGGCTTGCTTTGCTTTGGTTTTGGTTTATATCTTTCTTGTTGCTAACATATGATTGGGAATATGTACAGAAGGAGCTTTTTCTTCTTTATTACATATGGGTTTATTCCCACCACTTTTTTATTTTTATATCTCACTTTCAAAATGATCTTGCCCTCATTTGGGGATAGTGGTAGCAGTGTTCATTGCTTTTACTTATTGTAGCCTTGGTGGGAAAGCTGCTACAGGTTTTTTTCTAAAAGAATTGAATTGGTTTAAAATTGCAAGACTGGTGTATGAATGTGTGTGTCTTTGTTTCCATAGTAATTACAAAGTAGTTGAAAAGAAGTGCTGTTGAAATAGGAAAGCTTCTTATATAAAGGAATTATCTTATTTTAAATTCCGGATATTGTTGCTAATTGGCATCTAGTTGGTTCTAACTTATAGCAACCATACAACAGAACTCATGAAAGAAGTTCAAGATGGTAGTGCCACGCTTGGCCAACTAGAACAAATCACCTGTCTTCTTCCCACCCCACACGTCTGCTCACCTGCTCTCCTAGTGAGTTCTAGTGTAGGATTGGTTAGGGCCGGCTCTTTAGGTTTGGAGCAGGGCTTACCTGAATCCAGGCACTGGGGTTGGTTCACATAGCTCCACACTCACTTTGATGGGGCTCACAGTCGCAGTGCTCACCTCTGTGCGGCTCTGACCACCAGGAGAGTGGTTGCATTATTAGGTAGGTGTGTATGTGGGTGGGGGCTGGTAACACCTCTGATCTCCAGGAAAGTTTGGGGAATCTCCACAAGCGACCAGTATGTTTCTGCAGTGCCCGTATGCTGTCTTGTCTCTGAAGTGGCACACTAGTTTTATTACTGTATTGTATCTAGTTGATCCTCACAGGTCACCAGTCTGTTTCCCTTTTTTTGCAGTGCCTATTCAGGTTTCTTTCCTAGTAAGCAGTCAGTCCACTTCTCTATTCCTTCATCTGTAACTCAGGGTTCCTGGATTATATCACCTGCATCTGTTTCATTTGGTTTTCCTGATCTTTCTTGGAGAGGGTCTGTGTAGCCTTACTGCCTAGTCCGCCATCTTGCTGCCTCCATTGGATTCAGCTCTTGTATTTAGCTTATCAATGTTCAAGAGAAACTTTGAAGTCTCTTCTGGCATCTACTTTGGCCTTTACTTTCTTCTTTTTTTCTTTTCAAGTTTTTATTGTGATTTGAGTGAAAGTTTATAGGGCAGATCATCAGTTTTACAATCAACAAATCATACAACTTGTTTAATTTTAATGATTATAATCCCCTCCATGTACCATCAGTTAACAGTATTTCTCTCTATTCATTTTAGCTCTTTTTTAAAAACAAACAAACAAACATTCAGGCATATATACTAATGTAAACCACCAAAGGGCACATTCTGCAAGTCTGCCTCCTGGCTGCCAGCTCTCAGTCCCTCTCTCACCATGAATCTAGAGTCCTCAGCTGCTCCCTCTCTCCATGTTCTCATCTCTGCCTCCATCTCTAGTATTGCTGCTTCTCTGGATAAGGTCTCGCATTCCACTTGTGCTCTTCTCCCTTGATGGTCCTAGGGTCCTGTGTTTCTGCACTGTAAAATTAGCTGCTCCCCCATTTTTGTTACAAAACTACCTTTATAATTGTGACAGTCCCAATTAGTCATGATAACTATTACTCACTATTGAATTATAAGAATCTTATCCCCATCTCTTTTTACCAGACCCATCTAGACATGATAAAAGTATTTAGTGAGGACTCTTTCTTCCCCCACAAACTCTTAAAACTAAGCTCTCCCTTGAAACCTTGTAGCCATCACTTCGTGCCTTTATCGCCCTCTCATTTTAGGTAGCCAATATCTAAGTTGCCCAGCCTTTATCTATACTGTGTACAGAGGGCATAGCATTGATACTTGATGTGAAAACTCCTTCTCTCTCTGTTGATATTTAGAGTTACTACCTACTTGGGTATAGGTCAAGTTCATCAAATTGTAGCAATTTACCCTCATTTCCATTATCAAAAATTTATGTTGTTGTTGTTGTTTTATATTCTTCTAGTTGAGTTCTGATTATCAAGCCATCAAGGCTAGGTCAAATGGGTACTATCTGCAGGTTTGGGTGTTCTTGTGCATCTCCCCTCACTTCACATCAGCTGGATGCTTCACTCTCAGCTCTAGCCCTCTGTGGCTATGTCCTTGTCAATGGGCTCAGGAGTCCCCAGGTCTCACCACACTTTGGACCAACCAGCCCTTCCTCTGCTCTCTCTCATCTCCGGGTCAGCGGGAGTCTATGGACTGTGGTTGAACTC